TCTGCGGATGAGGTGACCATTGCCCTACACACATGTTGAGCGACTTACGTGAGATGTCATCTGGTGTTCATACTAAGTGCAGACTGCCATAAACAAGATGTCCTGAGCGACTGGTTTTCAGAGTGAAGCCTGACTTACGTTGACTTAGACAAGAGACAATGGGTGACTTACAAATGAGAGTGTTGACTGACTTTGCGTACCTTATATGCAGCCGCCGGTATGTCAGATGTATTGGCCGATTCGTCCCTACGTTTTAAGAAGTCTGAAGTTAACTGACTTAAGCCAAATAAAATGTCGAGGTGCGCACGTTAGACCATAAACTGCACAGCGCTGATGAGTGACAAACGTACCAAATACCAAATATACTTACACAAGATATAGCAATCGTCTTCACGAGGAACCGAGAGCCATACGTACCAAACCCTGGACAACACACATATGATAAGAAAAAAAACTTACACTGGACGATTTACTACCCGCACATGCCTCCCCCCTTAAAGCCAGCCCACCTCTACTCCGGCGCACAAATCACCACCGTGCACCACACAGTACGCGTGAACCCGACCCTAATTATCCACAGGCTGTACACGTTCACGTTAATGCTGGGTGACGACGATATACACACGAGCCTCGGAGACACAGAGCCGCGGGGCTGCGCTCTCGCACCAGCGCCGACCTGCCTCGGGGTCGCCCTTCGGCTAACAATACAACCCAATTATATCGCGCTAGATGAAATTACCCCTGATGTTGCCTCCCCTTAGTCTATTCTTTTTTTCATTCACACATTTGCAATTCATTTCCCTCGAATAATATTCATCCTTCTGTAAACACCACTCTGTTCCAAGAAGGGGATGTGTATTTTTTTCCCTTTCCCAGTATCATTTTCTCCATAAAACATTTTTTTTTTCTCCTAACACATTCTTTCTTGCTAAACGCTTCCTTCACCCCCTTCCAGCAAATTGCATCGCTCTTCGTCCTCATCAGCGTTACATCTTATGGCTTAGGACCTCCATCATGTTTCTTATCTTCTTAAACCTACACGATGAATCTTCTCTTTTTTTTTTGGGGGGGGCGTCCTATCTCATACAGTTCACGCTCCGGACTCCCTTTCCATCTCCCTAATACTCTCCTCTACGCCCTCAGTACTTCCTCGATTCCCCGACGCCCCACTTCCTGCCCTAAAACTCCACCCATGTTTCCCTTTACCCTGCTAACCCTGTAGCTCCACCCATATTCCGGGAAGACCCGCCCCCAGCCTTATCGCTCCACCTCGTACCCTAAAGTTCCGCCTACATTTCCACCCTTATTAGCCTAAACTCCGCCTCCTATCCTATGGCTCCACCCACATTTCCTAAGCCCCTCCCCCAACACCCAACTGCCCCACCCTTATTAGCCTAAACTCCGCCTCCTATCCTATGGCTCCACCCACATTTCCCTAAGCCCCTCCCCCAACACCCAACTGCCCCACCCTTATTAGCCTAAACTCCGCCTCCTATCCTATGGCTCCACCCACATTTCCCTAAGCCCCTCCCCCAACACCCAACTGCCCCACCCTTATTAGCCTAAACTCCGCCTCCTATCCTATGGCTCCACCCACATTTCCCTAAGCCCCTCCCCCAACACCCAACTGCCCCACCCTTATTAGCCTAAACTCCGCCTCCTATCCTATGGCTCCACCCACATTTCCCTAAGCCCCTCCCCCAACACCCAACTGCCCCACCCTTATTAGCCTAAACTCCGCCTCCTATCCTATGGCTCCACCCACATTTCCCTAAGCCCCGCCTCCCATCCTATTGCCCCACCCCTATGAGTCTAAACTCCGCCTCCTATCCTATGGCTCCACCCACATTTCCCTAAGCCCCTCCCCCAACACCCAACTGCCCCACCCTTATTAGCCTAAACTCCGCCTCCTATCCTATGGCTCCACCCACATTTCCCTAAGCCCCTCCCCCAACACCCAACTGCCCCACCCTTATTAGCCTAAACTCCGCCTCCTATCCTATGGCTCCACCCACATTTCCCTAAGCCCCTCCCCCAACACCCAACTGCCCCACCCTTATTAGCCTAAACTCCGCCTCCTATCCTATGGCTCCACCCACATTTCCCTAAGCCCCGCCTCCCATCCTATTGCCCCACCCCTATGAGTCTAAACTCCGCCTCCTATCCTATGGCTCCACCCACATTTCCTAAGCCCCTCCCCCAACACCCAACTGCCCCACCCTTATTAGCCTAAACTCCGCCTCCTATCCTATGGCTCCACCCACATTTCCCTAAGCCCCTCCCCCAACACCCAACTGCCGCCCATATTATCCTAAACCTCGCCTGCTACCCTAAAGTTCCACCCATATTTCCTTAAGCCCCTCCTACCACCCAACTGCCCCACCCTTATTAGCCTAAACTCCGCCTCCTATCCTATGGCTCCACCCACATTTCCCTAAGCCCCTCCCCCAACACCCAACTGCCCCACCCTTATTAGTCCTAAACTCCGCCTCCTATCATATGGCTCCACCCACATTTTCCTAAGCCCCTCCCCCAACACCCAACTGCCCCACCCTTATTAGCCTAAACTCCGCCTCCTATCCTATGGCTCCACCCACATTTCCCTAAGCCCCGCCTCCCATCCTATTGCCCCACCCCTATGAGTCTAAACTCCGCCTCCTATCCTATGGCTCCACCCACATTTCCCTAAGCCCTGCCTCCCGCCCTACTGCCCCACCCCATACCCAATCGCTCCCTAACCCTAAGCCTATATACTCCGTTCACTCTTTTACTCCTAATCCCCCCTTCCCCCCCCTTCGCTCCCCTCCCTCCTCCCCCTCCCCCCAAACAACGTGTAATTATCCCCGCCATCTTAGTCTCAAGAAGGACCGATTTTTCAACCCGGACAAATTACAGCCTGCCAGTATTTCTCCGGAAGCAGGTTTAATGGTGACACTTTATTACGGGCGGGATAATCTCGCGGCGCCACCTTATTAGGCCGCCAGGAATCTCTTCGCCAGGAGTCCTATCATCGCGCCCTCGGGATTTAAGGCTGCATGCTGAGTTTTAAGTTTTTTTTTATTTTTTTTTTATATATCTTTATTTTTTTTCCTCGTCTTCTTTGGTTTATGCGCCTTGGCCTCTGTAACCAAGCCAGGGAGCTTTGATACTCTCTATACTCTCTATACTCTCTCTTTCTCTTTCTCTTTCTTTCTTTCTTTCTTTCTTTCTCTCTCTCTCTCTCTCTCTCTCTCTCTCTCTCTCCATCCCTACCCCCTCTCTCTATCTATCTCTCTTTGTCTCTTTCTCAGTATTACTTTTTGAAACCGAACTCTTTTTCCTGCCTGTTTTCTTTCCTGCCTTCCCCTCATTTCCCCTCGCGTTTCCACTCCCCTGTCTGCTTCCCTCTTCCTCGACCCTCCTCTCCCTTAACCCGCCGTCTATCACCACTCTCGTCTCCTCGGATCTAATCTCCAGACCCTCCCTTTCTGTGCGTCCTTTCTAACCTTCCCTTTTTTGCATACAGAGCTGCTCTTTGTTACAAACACACACACACACACACACACACACACCCGCACATGCCACGCGTAATGATACATACACAAGCACATGCGCGTTTAGATTCACATACACACACGCCACACACAGCCCAGGAAAAAATAAATAAAAAAAAAACAAACAGTTTAGTCACGTGACACCAGCCCTCTAGGGGAGCGCGTCGCGGCAGCTCCTGTTCACACGCCTTTAAATCACATTAACTTACTGTGGCGTTATCGTTATCTTCAAATTTATAATCCCGTTCCCTGCATCTGATATCTCCAATCCAATTTTCTGATGTGTTCCGCAGTGTATAAACAAGGACGCGGAGAGAGAGAGAGAGAGAGAGAGAGAGAGAGAGAGAGAGAGAGAGAGAGAGAGAGAGAGAGAGAGAGAGAGAGAGAGAGAGAGAGAGAGTGCGATAGAATAGAAAGAGAGAAAAGAAAGAGAGAAAGAAGATAAAGAGAGAGAAGACATAGAGACAGCAGAGAAAGACAGAGAAGAAAGACACAGCAGTGAAAGACAGAGAAGAGAGACACAAAAGAGGAAGAGAGAGGAAAAATGGAAAGAAAGATGGAGAAAACAGAGAAAGAGAAAGAAAGAAAAAAAAGGGAAAGAGAGAGAAGAAAAAATAATAGAAGAGAAAGAGACAGGTAAAAAGAGAGGTAAAAATATGGAGAAAAAGAGGAAGAGCTAGAGATGGCAGGGAGGGAGGGAGGTAGGGAGAAAGAGACGGCGGGTGGTGATGTGTGGGTGTTGTTCATGAATGGAAATCCCTTCAAAAAGCCAGAGAAGATTTAAGCCCCGGGATAACTGTTGCAGCCTTATGGCCCCCCGAATGGGTAGAGGGAAGAAAAACCCGTTGACCCCGGAAGAATATGAGATAGACAGAGGGAAAGTGGAGGTTGCGGATAGACCGTAGTGCAATGAAGCCGAGGGAATCCAACGAAATCTGTCTATGAATCATCTGCTCCCAGACCAGACGCCAAAATCACGAGCGACGGAGATCCAAACTCACAGAAAGTCTAAACAGGATTACAGAATCCACGAGACAAAGGAGTCTGCAAGAAGTTTGAAGCTCAAGAGAAGAAACTGTGTTCGTGTAACTCAGAGAGAGATTTTGTGATCCCTCGTCCCGTGGAGAAACTTTGCGATTTATAACACAGAGAAGAGGCATTGCGTCTCCGTGCCAGAAGGAGGCAAATCGCGCCCCTCCGCCCATCGAGAGCCTTGGAGATGCTGTAACATACGAGGAGCCGTTGCATCCTCGTAACTCAGGGAGAGGAAGACTTGCGGCCGCCCTGCTAACAACAACTGCCATCCGTAAGATGTACTTACCCAGCCTTCCTGACGGCGCCGGTGCAATTGAAGGACGCGGCGGTCGTGCCAGCGCGCGGGGCCTTGTAGGGCGAGTTGTGCACGCTCTCTCCTTCTTCGTCCTCGCTCACCGCCGTCGTCAGGGACATGCGGTCATCATCTGACAT